GTGGATTTTTTAAAAAATGCATTTAAAAATTGTATCAGTACCACATATTTTAAATAGTAAATGTTTGTTTTGAAATAAGAATTAATGACTGTTTTATACAATTAGGGCTGCTGAAATTCTTTACTATTTCGCCCTGAAACAAGCTCAGAAATACAAGATAAGTAAATTTCTTTCATCATCCCATTACATGGCACTGACAGAAGCCAGAAGAAATTTGGGACTGTTTCAACATCATGATGCTATCACAGGAACTGCAAAAGATTGGGTGGTTGTGGATTATGGTACCAGGTAATATAATTATTAAAAAGTGATTATAAAACAATTTTTTTTTAATTTTGGGTCACAGGCTTATATCTTTGATGAAATTGTTAATGTACATCAGACCATATCAATAATGACATCCCTTATAAGTATTGCTATAGAAAAACAACATCAATATTCAAAGCATTTTTCAAGAATTGTATGGAGAATGTACTAGCTGTCCTAACTTTTTATTGCAGTGCATTTCTGCAAATGGAGTAGTAAAACATTATTATAAAGCTGATTCTGTTTTCTCCCAAGTATAATGTGGTAATTGGGGTTACCTTGTTGACGAGGGATTTGGTATCAAATAAATCATAGCTGTAATCCAAGGAGATAAAGACCCATACTTGATTGTATAGCAGTTTAATTTCATCCTATTTCATATCCAGTTGTTCTCAGCCTAGAGTTTAGCCAGGAAGTAGAAGAACCTAGAAACTTTGACATATATAAATGATATAAGGAATTGGGATGAGAAGGGTTGGCTTGGGTATTGATATCAAAACCATCTTCAACTCTTAGAAGGTCTGTGAGATGAGTGAGGGAGGGGAAGCTCAGTTATTTTCACATTGCAGGATTGGAAACAGTGAGTACAGGCTTTAGCTCAGAACAGCAGGAGACTTTGTAAATAGTGCTTCCCAATAATCAAAAGGCTTACCTTTTGTGATAGTGAGATTTCCATCATCATGCCCTAGTTTGGGTAACCATTCATTAGGATCATTGTAGAGGAGATTCCTATGTTGGGGAAGGAGTTTTGACTATTATTTCATTATGGCTTAGTTATTATTTCTTCCAGATTTTTTTCCTATCAAAAATGGTGTACTTCAATAATATTTTAAAATTGTTAAAGTGTGCTCTGATTTTCTTATAATACAGATTTAAGAAGTGAACCTCTTTTTTTAATAAATGCTCTCTCCCGTATGTTAAAAGTGTATACAACGTATAAAGTCAACATTACAGATTGATCCACAACTGATATCACTAATCATTATAAGTGTTAATTAAAATTTTAGTTATAGTATTTTGACTGCCTTTCTAGATATTTGAAAAACAAATTCTTGAGGTTTCATTAGTTGACTTGAATCCTTGAAAATATATTCATGGTAGCATCTTGAATATCTTCTCAGTTTTCTTGTGGCAAATGTATTTGGCATCTGTTGAGGTTGAGCTGGGCTTAAAATGGAAAACATTCATTGGCTGATAATGATAATTGGTTTTTCTCCCACAGAAGGCATTTTTTAAAATAAGGTCAGATCCTCCATTTTTTTCCTTTTCACCTGCTCCTGTCTTCTTGGTTTATTGAATTTAAAAGTGAGGCTTATATTCAGAAAAGAGTTCCTAAGAGGAAATGAAGAAGTCATTCTCCTATACTGTCTACCTGCTCTCTCTCTGGCTGCCATATTGAAAGAGACTTGGGTACAGGTCATTGAGTTTTTGCAACTGAATATTTTCTATCTCATAACCTTTCCAGAAGGGCTGTCATTAGTTCCTCCATATGTTTGGTTATGCTTTTAGCTTATAAAAACATCACCATACAAAATTGCATCTTAGAGAAAAAAGACAATATTTCTCAAATTATACTTGACATTTGTAAATTTGCTTTGCGAGCACTTCACACTTCATTGAGAAGTCATACACAATTATCAAGTCATTAGCATAGACATTTTAAGTAGGAAATTTCAAAACACAAGTTAGAGAGTTATAAACAAAGAGGCAGCTAGCATTGGGTGCTCTCTTGTTCTTAGACTGTTGACTGTTTATTCAAATGTTGGCAGAAGTGTCCCTGTGAACAAGTGTATGAGTTCAGGATTGCATTTGGCTGCTAGTAATAACAACTTAAAACTGAATAAATCCTATCCTACTTATTTTTATGCCACGTGGAAGAAGTCTGCAGGTCCCCAGTTCAGGTATAGCAGCTCTACAGTGCCGACAGGGGTCCAGACCCTTCTAGCTTTCTCTTCTGCCATCTAAAGGTGATTCTTACTTAGAGTACTGCTCTCAACAGTAGATTGAATGTTTATATAATTATCACCTGGAGAACAAGAATACATCATGGCTATTTGAAGGTTAATTCTAATCATGGCATGAAAAAATGAATTAGAGGGGGACAGTGTTTGTGATGGATGTTCAGCCTAAAAGTGGATAATGGGGCTATGTGCAAGAGAAGAAATGGTAATGAGATCAGTTACAGAAATATTTAGAATTCTGCCTATTTCTATGTTGTAGTTAAGGTAGGTAGGAGAAAAAAATGAACAAAGGGTAAGTATGAGGGCCCATATGTATAGATCAAACTTCACTGACAAACATGATAGTATCTGCCTGAAACAGTAGTAATGATACCAGAGTAGAAAACTGTGATTTCTAAGTGATGGTCCGGTTCAGTGATAATAAAATACGGGCATGTTAGAAAATTAGAGGCTCTGGGAAATCCCACAATGATGAATTGTTGAAACATTAAAATTTTGCTTTACCCAATGTTTCCCAAACTTATTTACTGTGTTTAGTCTTGTTTTGCTTTAAACAGAATGGCTTTATGCATCCTGAGAAAGCATTTGGGGAATACACTACCAGTTCTTAGTGCTTGCCTCGTTAGAAGACTGTGCATGTGCCTTTAGGATACAAACATTGATGTGTGGCATTCCCTCAGTTTAAGCTCCAGTGCACTGTAATACATATAAGGTTTTAGCTGATGGAGAACGTGACTTTTTTTTTTTTTAAGATTTTATTTATTTATTTCACAGAGAAAGAGACAGTGAGAGAGGGAACACAAGCAGGGGGAGTGGGAGAGGGAGAAGCAGGCTTCCCGCTGAGCAGGGAGCCTGATGCGGGGCTCGATCCCAGGACCCTGGGATCATGACCTGAGCCGAAGGCAGATGCTAAACGACTGAGCCACCCAGGCGCCCCAAATAATAGATTTTAAAGAATAGCATTGACCGTTCTAAGGAGTCTAGTTTTTTGTTGTTTCGATTTTTTTTTTAATCAGTGAGGAATTAAAGGTAAACTACAGCTCATAGTAGCCGTTCTAGGAAGGGTAGTGGATCCTAAGTATAAGCTGTATCAGTCTGTTCTCAATTGGACAAGAATTTGGGTTTGGGGTTGTTTTTTTTTTTTTTTAAGATTTTTATTTATTTATTTGAGAGAGAGAGTCAGAGAGAGGGCACAAGCAAGGGGAGCAGCAGAGGGAGACGGAGAAGCAGGCTCCCTGCTCAGCAGGGAGACCGACGTGGGGTTTGATTCCAGGAACCTGGGATCATAACCCCAGCCAAAGGCAGACGCTTAACCGACTGAGTCACCCAGGCACCCCAGGAATTTGGTTTTGATTGACTGTTCTTATACCAAAGAAAAAATGAAAAATAACAATACTTCTGGAATATTATGCATGGGCAATTGTGACTAATTTATTTAAAATTATTCTATCTTTAAATAGCTCTAATATTAAATTAAAAAACCAAGAGAATTATCATATATTTACAAAGAGAAAATAAAAGACTATCAGGGAGGCAGGTGGGTGCATCAGAAACAGGTAGGAGCCCAGAAATCCCCATGCCAGCTTTCATGTTCTTCCCTTACTTTTTAGCTATATGGTAAAATTAGGTCCAAGAACTTTGTAAACTCTTAATGCATTATATTAATTTCAGAATATTTTTTCTAGAACCAGAGAGGTACATTTGGAAGAAAATTTCACAGTTCTGAAAATCTGATGCTACTTAAGTAGTTCGCAATGCAAGCCTAGCTCGTCATGCCATTGTTGAGCTTCTGCAGCCTGTAATGCTTAAGAAAATATAATTCCTTCAAAAAAAAAGAGAAAATATAATTCTTCATAAATGCTTTCAATGTGTTCCTATGTCACAGAAGTATGTTCTGTTCCTGATTTTTCTTGACAACTAGATTCGAAATGACGAAACCTTAAACCAGTGGTTGCCATAGTTTTTTCAAGTTTGTAAATTTGCTTTATATTCAGTTCTTTCTAGTAAAAGGGCAGTGTGTTTTATAGACTAGTAAACCTAAGTGTGATTAAGCAATTCTCTGAATCCTGCTTTCTGTTTGCTTAGATGACTCCCTGTGGTCATCCTTGCCACCTGCCCGACCCCTGAACATTAGGGGGCCACGGTTATAATAAACGTTTGCCTGGGAAAATGTCACTGCTGTAGAATGAATGGTATTTCTAATAAATAGCACATGGACAATATAGAAGGGTTTTAATTAGAAATTTTTTTTAAGACTTTTTTTTTTTAAAGATTTTATTTATTTATTTGAGAGAGAGAATGAGAGAGAGCACATGAGAGGGGGGAGGGTCAGAGGGAGAAGCAGACCCCCCGCAGAGCAGGGAGCCCGATGCGGGACTCGATCCCGGGACTCCAGGATCATGACCTGAGCCGAAGGCAGTTGCTCAACCAACTGAGCCACCCAGGCGCCCTAGTTAGAAATTTTTATAGCTGGGAGGGAATGTTTGTAGATCACCTAGGCCAGTCAAGTTGTAAACATTTTTATTTTCTATTTTCAGCACTTTTTGTCTAATGAAAAACCTTATACTCCATTTTTATAGCATGCGCCTGTTCTGATACCTTGTAAGGTTTTGTTTTCACTTGAGATTGCAAATATCAGGTGGTATGTATTTGCCATTTGGGAAATGATAATAAACATCCCTTGGAAAAGTTAAAAGCTGAAATTTTTTCTTAAAAATGTCATTTCCTCCTCAGCCTTATGTTTACACAACACTGCCCTTTGTCAGAGTGCAACGTGGAAGGTTTTACTCAGACGTGACTTGCTTTTTGGAACATGTTACCCATAGGGTCCGACTGTACAACATCCAAGGTAAGAAAACAAAGCAATAGCTGTGAAACATGTACTCTGGTTCTGGAATTCTTTGTGTGTCATTTTTAATAAACTAGCAATTGGTTTTTTGTGTGGGGTTTTTTTTGTTATGTTATGTTAATCACCATACATTACATCACTAGTTTTAGATGAAGTGTTCCATGATTCGTTGTTTGTGCATAACACCCAGTGCTCCATGCAGTACGTGCCCTCTTTAATACCCATCACCAGGCTCACTCATCCCCCCACCCCCTCCCCTCTAGAACCCTCAGTTTGTTTCTCAGAGTCCATCGCCTCTCATGGAGCAATTGGTTTTTGAACATGGTATTTATGGTGGTCTTTCCTAAACTTGTCATTATACTCACTGTGTGGTTTAAAAATATACTTAGCCTTTTGATAATCAGAAATGGTAAAACATTTAACTCTACATATGTATGTTCTTTCCCTATATATATCTCCTCTTACGTCTCATAATATTTGTCTTGGTCATGAGTTCATTAATTGGAATCTTTATTTCTAAGATCTAAAAACAGTGGGGTTTTTTGTTGTTGTTTTAATTTTACAAAATGGGAATTCTGTCAATTACGGCTTTCAGTTAGTAGATCATTGACCGTCTCTGACATGCACACACCCCCCCACGTATGGCCTGCCTTAAATATGGAATGTATTACAATAGCAGGTGTTACTGGAATTTAACTTTCTTTTAAGAAAAACGTTCGTTACTAGTTCTTTCTGTTTACAAGTCTTTACCTGGGAGAGTATAAAATCGGGCGATTGTTTATTGCTTTTAGGATGGGACTGATGAGCAGCATCTTTATCAACCAAGTGACAGTAAATAGGCTTTTAATCCTCTTAGGGACTTAACCATGGGCAGTGGTTCTTGTCCTTCCTTAGGATTTGGATGGAGCCGTGGCTCCCAGACACCCTCAGAGTTGCACATTTATGTTGGTTCATGTTGAATTCACTTTTTTTAGAATGGAGTACTTTTCCAACCACAAATGTAATCCTAGTAACCAGACCACTTAACCATGGTATCAACTCTCTTAGAAAAGGACCTCATAAAAATGCCACTTTAGATTCTTCTTTGCTGTTAGCTAGGCTGAAAAAGTTAGAAAAGGAAATATTGTTTCCTTGAATCTTTATACCAGTAGATAATAAAGCGTTTGAAAACTAATGATAAAATATATGGGCAGGCGCTGTTTGCTTTTTGGGTTTTGTGGGGAAGCAAAGGGTACTGTGTTCAGGGAATGTTCACTTTGCTACCTACAAGAAAGTCTGAAATAATCTTTTATTGAGTTTTATTGAGTTTTCTAAAATCTCTGGTAAGCCAGAAACAATATTTTTGACCATCCTTTTCTACTCTTGCATAAGCCATTGTTCAACATCTCTGAGAGCTCTAAAATTATACCTTCAGCTACGCCAGAGGTTTCATTTTATGGGTAGAAAGTAGCATCCCCATCACACAGGAGATGTGCTTATCTGCTTTTAGATTTGCTTAAAAAACTGTTGCTTGTAATGGAATGTTTCTTCCTTGAGTACAGCATGGCCCCCACTTTGGCCCAGGCCTGTGTCATCAAGCATGGTTTACTGTTGTTTTTCCTTAGGTCTACTTAGGAGGTAGGCTGTGTGACAGAGTTCATGCTGAAGCAGCTCGCCAGAGAATTCCTACTTCTCAGTCAAGTCCGTTTGCTTAATTGCTTTTCTTTTTGTTTAAATGAGTCTGTCACCATCATTGCAGCCTCAGAGTTTTCGCAGGTTGTCCAGGGGATCTGGAGCTCATCACAGAGGATGGTTTCCGTAAATTAGAGGGCCCTCTTCTGCTGCTGTGACTATAAGCTTAGTTTGCCGTCATAGCCCAGTGGTTGATTTGGAAATTAATAGGCTCTGACTTGCCTGTGTACTCAACCCAACAAACATGCATTTACCAGGCCCTAAAAGCTTTTCTTTTCTCCTCTTTCCTTCTCCCCAGCTAAGCAGTCCAAAATGTCCAATGGCTGACTAGTAGCCCCTTTGCAGAACCAGGAACCACCAAGATTTAACTGCCTCCCAGCCCTCCAAGGTGACAATGCCAGTGGATTGGTCAGTTAAGAAAGAGAAGTTGTTCTCAACTGGACGCTTAGAGTATTAGCATAACAAAAATAATAATAATAAAATAAGAATACAGACCTCGAATTGCCTCTGGATGTCACATGGGTGGAATAAACAGGGTGAAGCATTTGGATGAGATTTCTGTAGCTTGAAAGCAGAAAGCTTCAGAAGTTGGTGGGAAACAACAGATAAATAAGTTAGGTATAACGTGAAGTTAACTTAGAGTGCTTCTCCAGATGGGTTTTACTGTTCTTGGCCTGGATTGAACCTGAAACCAGCGTGTATAACCATTCGAAGTGACATAGCGATCTTTATTTTTGCTCTCTCAAGCCCAGAGTGTTTATATTTTTTGTTTTTTTCCAACATGAAAGCGATCGGTGGGAGATGGAGATACCAGTTCACCTGAAAGGCTTTCATTCAAACTATACATCCTTCTATGTTTGTATCTGAGCCCCTCTCAACAAATCTCCCTCTTGGAAAAAATAAGCCCCGTTGTGGAGAGAGAGCCTCTTCTCAGTCGCCTTCCTGACCTCCCTCCATCTGTCGTTTTCTTTCACATACCGGTGCATGAAGGCTCAGGTTGTCTGGATCCTGGCTCATTGGGGTTTTAATTAAATCACTGGTCGAAACCTAAGGAAGAGATGTGAGGTCTTCAGGGTGTTTGGATGTCGACGAGTTCAAAGTGCCTGAATGGGGTCTGGTTATGCTGCACCAAAGCAGCCATACTGTGAAATACTTGAAAGCTCTTCGGTGTTTTAAACTTCGGCCTCATGTAAACCAGGTATCTGGGCGATTGATCAAAATCCATGGACAGGATGTAGCTTTTCGTCTTAGGTGTAGAGAAAACATCAGCCAACTTCCATGCTTTTGTCGAGTGGCTTGTGTTTAATATTTCTTGAAAGAACGTAAATACCTACTTTCAAATTTAACTTTCTAAATTGTCTTTGGATGCATGCTAATTGTGCCCCCTTTAAATAAACTGACCAGATGCAGTTATTCGGATGAGTATTAATGAATAGAGCCTGTTTGTTGTTAGTACCAAATTTATGAGCCAGAAAAAAATGGGGCTTGGGGGAGAGAAACTATTAATATTTTATGATTAGGTACTATAATGGTATTAGGTTACTAAACCATTAATTATACAAAAGATTTTATTACCTCTCAGCAACAAGGATAAAGAAACAGAAAGAGTTGATATTATGGAATATCTGTCTTTGTTGAGAGTCTATATTAAATGTTTCAAATTCAGTTTACTTGAAATATTCTTTTAAAAAAACTAAAGTAATACAAACCTGATAAAGTATCCTTAAATTCCTCAGTCTCTATTTTAGTTACTCTTTGACCGTTTTCTCCCCCAAAGTAACCTTTGGCTCCAATTAAGCTTTGGGAGAGAAAACAAAAGCAAGAACAGAAATCAAACAGCACTTCTTAGATTATAAAAACTGTGTGGTCATCATTGATTTTGCAACAAACTGAGTTGGGAGGCGTAGGTTCAACCAACTTTGTTTTTTTGTTTTTTGTTTTTTTCTTGGTGTTTTATATTTAAGTTTTAGTGTCTATTTGTGTTCTCTCCAGATTCTGAAAATGGTCAGAGGTGCAGTTTAGAGTCCTCTCTAAACATCATTTAAGCTATTAAAAAACACTCTTGTGTTTCTTTTCATTATTGTTCAAACATTACATTCAAAACGTTTCTAGAAATATTAAATTAGAGGAAATCTTGTGCTCACTAGCTTTAAAAGCTCTACAAGATCAGAGGGATTTGAAAGAGTTCTAATGCAACACAATGTATCGCCTTCTATCAGGTTAAATAAGAAATCCATTTTGTAGCACCCATAATTTAATGAAATGCCCCTTTGGAACTATTTTTTTTTTAATTTTTCAAAGATTATATTTAGTTTGTAGAAAATAACATTTTTCTGGAGGAAAAGATGGGAGAAATGAGGATTAATTTTTCTTGCACTATAATCATCTTTCATTAAATTGAAGCTTTTCGTGTCACTAAGGCTACTTTAGCTTTTTTTTTTAATCTTGATATGGAAGATAGAATGTGATACAGGCAGAAGCCCCTGTATCCCCTTACGTTATATTTGTTTCATCACAACAAGTGCATACCTTGCAGTGACATCATGATCAGTAAGTGACATTTGCTAGCTGTGGCTTCATTTGTCTTTGGAGTTGTAATTATTAGACTTTGGTGCCCTAGTTTTTTGACATCAACAGCTACTTTGAAGAATGAGGTTGCTATGGGTTACCAGTGTGTCCTGTACATTTTCACTAGCACAAGGTTCAGGTTCCAGATCGGTTAAAATATATACCTTCAAGCTTCCCCCCGCCTCTCCGCCCCAGGACTACGTTCTCCTAGGCGGGTGTTTGTGAATGAATGAGTATGTGTGCAAACCATGTTTCAACCCTTAAGAGAAATATCTAAATGCAATACTTTTGCCTATTTTCCACCAACATACTATGAAAGTACTATATGTAATGGATCTTGCTAAAAGAAAGCAAGTAGCCTGGAGGTAAAATGTAATGAACTGCCATCAAAAAGTATGGAAGAAAAGACTTTCCTTTGGCTGCAATGACTGAGTAATTTCCTTGCATGGGCACATTTAGCATTCAAAAAGAGGTCGCTTAGTTTTTCTCTGTTTTGAATATGTAATGTGATTGGATTCATAACATGACCCTTGACTTTTAGAAAGTCAAAATGAACTCCATCTAGTTAAACACATAAGAGAATCACACTGGGAATTAGAGGTCTGAATCCTCAGTTGTGCCTTGAAGCCAACCAGTGACCTTGAGTTTGTCCTTAGATTTCTTACGGACTCAGTTTCTTAAACTGTAGAAAGACTAGATAGATGGCCAATTAGGTATAACCATTAAAGAGTCTTCACAAAACTTAGTATTACATAAAGTCT